TTATTTAATAAAAAATATTGGGGGTTGACATAATACATATATAAAAATTACTTTCTGACATAAAGACATTTTTTAAAAAAAGATATAATATTTTAATCAGCATGGTTTTAAAACCGTCAGGTGATCACCGTGCATATACAGATGACTTCCCATTCTAATACACCTGGCTTCCCGGGTCTTCCCCAGATACCAGATCGTTCGAATGAAAAGCGCCCATGCATGCAAAGGTGCCTCCTATATCGATTTATCAAAGATGATTCGGCCAATTTTCTCCATTTAGTATGTTTTGGAATTCCACGTAGCCTAACTCGTCTTTTTCCCAGTATAATCGGTCTTCCCGTTCTCTTCGGTTACAGAGTGTGCATTCCTCCGATTGGGCTCGTCTATGTGGCGCGTAGTTTAGTCGTAGTATCTCCACTCTAGTGGTCGCTAAAATAGTTTTTCGTGCCTAGATTGTACTCAAGCGTTCTGTAGTGCTCTCGGCTCTCACTTTGCCTTGCTTGTTCTTCTGCTCGTTGCCTCACTTGGATGTTTATCGCCTCGAGTATGTTCTGGTGACTGTCCTTCCAAGTGGTCTGATCGTCCCAGTCGAATTGCACGTTAACACTGCTTGCTAAATGACACCACTCTTGAAAGCACTGCGATTTGCTTTGTAGCATGTGTGATGCCACAATTTTTGGAAGCCTCCTGTCGTTAAAGGACATCACTTTTCTGATGTAGCTGAAGTGACTATTCAGTGTACTGCAAAAGAGGGGGGCTAGTCCTGTTTCTAGCGTAATTGCGTAATTTGGTGTGTTCGATGCCAACCTAAAGAGTCTTTTTAAGAGAAAAGTTAGCAATTTTTCTACTTCTTCGCAATACGTGTGTCCCCAGACTTCGGCAGAATTACACATTATGGCTTTTGCTGTGGCTTTATATAACTTGTATTTAATGCTACTCTTGACTTCTTGCTTTGCCAGGAAAGAACTCCAAGTACTGTTCCGTGCAACTTTGGCATCCTTTAGCTTTTGTTGCAGATGTTTTTTGAAGCTCATGTTTGATGATAAGACCGTTCCCAGATATTTGTACTCTTTTACTACTTCAATTTCGGTACCATTCAACGTCCATCTTTCATCTCTGGCCAGGCGTCCCCTGGGATCTTTGATGCACATAACTTTGGACTTGTCCAGGTTAATTTGGAGATTCCAGTTGGTACAGTAGGCGTGGGTGTAATTGATCATATTTTGCAGCGTTTCGGGACTGTCTGCCAGCATCACCATGTCGTCTGCGTACATGAGCACTTTAATCTGATGGTCTGCAAATAAGACTCCTCCCGGTAGGCCTTCTGTGATGTCATCAACGAATAAGGAGAAACGTAAGGGACTAAGCAGACATCCTTGCTTAACTCCGGTGTTTGTCTCAAACCATTCAGAGAGGGTTTTTCCATCCCATACGGCTGTGCGGTTCTCTGAATAATGATTTTGAATTACTTAGAGCATTTTGATTGAGATCCCTCGGTTACTCAGCTTTAGGATTAATGCCCTCCTGTCGATCGTGTCGAAAGCTGCTTTAAAATCAATAAAAAACAGGTACATTTTTTTCTTTTTTTTATAGAACTCCGCTGCAGTAGATGTTAATGTAAAAATGCTATCTACTATCGAGTAGACTTTCCTGAAACCGGCTTGGTACTCGCTTAGAATTTTGTTTCGCTCTACGTACTTGGATATTCTCTCTAATAGTATCGACGTAAAGATTTTTTGGACACTGACGAGGAAGGATATTCCTCTGTAGTTGGCAGCAGCTTTTGAGTCACCTTTCTTAAAGATCGGGAAAATTATGTTGCGCTTGAAACTCTCTGGTGCCATACGGTCTTCAAAAATGCGATTATACACCAGCGTTAATAGGAAAATTAGCTCCGTTGAGGCGTTTTTGTAGAACTCGGCCAGAACTCGATCAAAACCGGGGGCCTTGCTTACTTTGCTCCTTCGGACTGCATCTTGGACTTCGCTGAGTCGTATCGGTTCGTCGAGCTCATTTATTTCCACGTATGGCAGTGCGTAGTTAATCTGCGTTCTGCTTGACAGAGCTTTGGCTGCTGTACTGTTTTTAGTTTTTTTCTAGTTTTTTGACAGTCTTGCTTTAGAGAGAAGGTATGTGTAGCCTATGTCGTCTGAGCTTATCTTATTTCCATACATCGCATTTAAATCGGCTGGTTGACTTTTGTGGATTAGTGTTTTTTCAGGGTTATAGTGCATCCACTTGCCTTGTATGTTAATTTCATCTCCCCTGTCCATTACTTTGATGCTGTTGTCAACCGCTGCAAGATGGCGTTTTAGCTGGAGTAGCACTAGTTTTTGTTCCTGCTTTTCAATGCTGAGATCTTTTTCGACGAATATTTCAGTTCCTGCTAGTTTTTTCCCGTTACGTAAGGATTCGTTGACCTTGGATGCGGAGTCCAGCTCCGCTATTACGCCAACATTGTTTGACCTCTCGTAAATTATCCGCGTGCTTTGCACCTCAACCTGTGGGATCTCCAGTTTGTCTCGCAGTAACTGCTGAACTCCAGTTTTTGTGGCTTTCTCTTTGTTAAGTCCCTTTATTATTATATTTTTGCTGCGACTTAGTTCAACCAGCCTGTTAAGCTCCTTTTTGTCCGTGATTCTGTCGCGTTTCAGTTGCTCGTTCTCGGCTTTTAATTGGTGGTTTTCTGCCTGCAAAGCTTCTATTTTCTCCGAAACCCCTCCCAGCTGTTCCTTCAGTTCTCCAACATCGCTTTTCGTTGCCACGTTTTTAAGAACTTCCATCAAGTCGCTCTTCGTTGGTTCTGGTGAACACTCGGTTCTTCCTCTATTAGCTATCTGAGGGGTGATCGCAGCCTCCTCCTTAGATTTTGGTGGGGTTCGCATCATTCCTCCTGCTCCAGGCATTTGAAAAAGTTATTTATCGCGTTTTTTTCGCTCGGATAATTTTTCTTGGTTTTCCTGCACCCTAGACGCAAAAAAAAAATAGTGTGGCCAAAAGTGGCCAAAATGATGCTTACAAGCCGACGTGTTTTCCTGGAGATCTCGGGCGGCTGTGTTGATGCCGTGGTGCCTGTTTGGTGTGTCTTCGCCTGGGCCGCGGATTGTGCCACAGTTTCGGGTTTGTTTAGCCTTGCAACGCTAGTAAGATGATAAATTTCCGGAGCCCGACTCATACACGTCCGCACTCTTTTGATACTCCTGATTTCTGTCCTTTTTTTTATTAAAAGAAAACATATTTATTAAGAAAACAAGAGAGAACGCTATAGTCGAGTGCCTCGACTATTAGATACCCGTTACTCAGCTAAACAACTTAATAGAAATATGCCTTCTTATATGTTTTTCGCCGCTCGATTTTTACCCAGGGATCTCTTTCTAGAAGAGGCTTTCTAGAACTTTCAATTCTGCCTAGCACATCTTCCGTCTCTCTCTAGCGCAGGTAAATGCACTTGTGAAAAACGTATACGAGCAAAAAGAGACAAAATGCGCGCCCCATTTCAAATAATTTAAAATTTGCATTAACAAAATGTGAATTAGAGTGACCACAGAAAAAAACGCAATGCCATTTCCTAGATGGCGCTAGTGTATATTGTATTGCGCCATCTACCGCCAGATATTGGTACTACTGGTCATGAAAGGCGGAAATGTAGGCGCTGGCCAGGTTTAAGCGTTTATTGGGTTTGTGGGCGTTAGAGTGGGCGTGGCAATTTTTTACTTGGCCAATCGATAGGTATTGACGAAGCGAATACATATCAGTTACTATTTTCATAATAGTTTCAAAACTGTGAGCGTTAGAGGGGGCGTGGCACCTTTTTGAAACAAACTTGCGCTGCGTAGGAGCTCCTAAAATATTCATGCAAAATGCCAATCTTCTAGCTTTTATAGTTTCCAAGATCTCAGCGTTCATACAGACAGACAGACAGACAGACGGACAGACAGACGGACATGGCTAGATCGACTCGGCTAGTGATCCTGATCAAAAATATATATACTTTATGGGGTCGGAAACGCTTCCTTCTAGCTGTTACATACTTTTGCACGAATACAATATACCTTTTTACTCTACGAGTAACGGGTAATAGAGTAACCCTATAGCCGCATTTTTTCATGTGTTTTTGGTAACGGAAATTCATGCCAGAACTGTCTACAAAAAATACGTATACTCTTTTTGCAACTGAAGAGACTCCTCTACGGATAAAGAATTCAAATTGCAGTTTGGTTTTCAATCAAACCCCATCGCCAGGCCCGCTTTGTGCAAGATTTATTGAACTGCTGCGTCCTTTCCAGTGCTGCCATCGCTTAGCTTGAAAAACAGGACAGATAAGCCACAAAAAACAGCGAAAAAAAGGACAAAAAATTTAAAAAAAGGACAAAAAAAAGGACAAAAGTAAATGCGCCTCCATTTTTCTGTTTTTACCAATGGGTTGTATATTTACTTAGTATAAATGGATTTTAAATAAAATTCAATTATGTAATGATCTACTGCTCCCGACTCACAACCTTCTTTGTTTGATCATTTTACCATGGTAAATTTTTGTGCGTATACGTAATAATCTAAAATTATTAAAATAATAAAAGCATTTCAAGTAACTATATTGGTAATACAAAAAAATTTAATCTGCGTCAAACCCGAATAAGAGTCGTTGAAATTTTTTTCTGACAAAAAAGCAGAGAGTAAAAATTGAGAAATTTTTAAAGTGTTTTCCTCTTTTTTTTGCTACAGAAAAAATCGTACCATAAAGAAAATCCATCGACTGCTTTACGTCTCTTTAATAATTTGTAAAAAAAATTATTTTTTAAGAGCCGAACTATAAAAATGATGGTTAGAAAGGCATTTTAGCATATAAAAACAGGTTTATACACTTTCGACTAGCAAAAATAACACTCAAAACCTTATTTTTGAAAAAAGGACAGATTTCCGGATAGGGGATGTTTGAAATTTTTTCCGGATAAAGCCGTTAAAAAAAGGACAGATCTGTCCGGAAAAAGGACAAAATGGCAGCACTGGTCCTTTCCCACCCGCATCTGCCGAGCGACGGGGAAATTTTTATTGCCAAAGCTGGATACTTTGATTTGAGAAAATTTCAATTAGCACAGCCCCCACCACCCAAGAACAGAGTTCTACCCTGTATTACACCTCATGGGGAAATCTTTCACACGTTCCTGAAATCCTTCTAAAGTTTAGCAGGTGTACAGGCCGTACGGCCAACAGGCGGGTCCGCTCGGCCCGCAGCCTTTGGGTCCGCCACAACTCGAGTAGGTACAGTCTCCAAGAGAAAAGGCGCAAGGGCCACACCAAGGTCCACACCAGGGACCGCATGGCCCCGAAGGTCCGTAGCCATAAGGACCGCATCCAAAACCGCCGCACATTATGTCGTTGATGCTGTATAGGACGGTTTTTCTATAGAAACAGCTCCCGAAAGATTTGTCACCATACTTACCTAAACTTCACGGAAAAAGAAACTAGAAAATTTTAGGTGGAAACTAAAAAATTTAAAAGTGAATTTTTATTTAGAGATTTTCAGTCCCTACGTGGTCTACCAGAGAGCTCCAGATAAAATTTTCAACTGAAAGCTGAGCATTGGTATTGTTTTCGATTCAAAGTCTTTCTCATAGCTTGCTAAACAGCTGTTTTTAAAAGTTCCGTACAAGTGACAAACACACACACAAAAAAATTTGCTTGGTAAAGTTGACCAATGAATATAGTTCAATAACTATAAGAAATAGTAATTTAACAATAAAAATAGTCGGTCGTGTATTTGTTTTTGCTTTGCGTACTATTTAATAGTTAAACTACTATTAAAATAGTCACGCTTAAGGGCGTTTGTATTATGTTTTTATTTATTTATTTATTCCGCCAATGGATTAAATCCTTATCTGGCTAGTAGGTTATAAACTTAAATCTAAGATTAAGAACTACAGCTACTAGCCGGTAGGAAGTTAAATAGACGCAAAGCCCTTAAAAGTGGCCCATTCCGAGCATAATTGGTCCTAGCAGCACTTTCAAAAAAGGGGACCATGGTACGGAGATTCCTGGCTGGGGCATTAAAGGTAATTAAACTCAAAAGGAAAGGACTATCAATGTTACCAATAATTAAGTCATTCACGAAGAGTAGGCCCGCTATTGAACGACTGTCTTTAAGACTATAAGTATGTAGTAGGCGACATTGGCTGGAGTAAGATGGAAATGGTTCAGAAAAATGCAACGGTGAAAACTTCAGAAATTTTTTTTGAAGCCGCTTAACCCAATTGCTGTGCACTGTGCTTGAGGGTTTCCAAATAAATGAAGCATATTCCACCCTTGACCGAACAAATGCAGAAAACACTGACAGTCTTGAGTACAGGTCCCTAAGCAGGTCAGTATTTCGTTTGACAAATCCGAAAATAGCATATGCTTTGGGCAGGATGTAATTAATGTGGTGATTGAAAAGGAATTTGCTATCAAAAAGGACCCCAAGATCCATAATTTCGTTCAGATCAAGGAGTGGGTGATCGTAAATACATGACAATACGGACCACTGACATTTGTTTTGATTAAGTGGCATTTTGTTCCGAGTGCACCATAAACTAAATCTAAAACTTAAATCAGAATGCAGCAAATAAGTGTCACTTAACGAATTCACCGAAAGCACTATGGGGAAAAAGTCCGTTTTTTTGGCATAAACTCTAGTTATACCCGTTACTCGTACACACAAAAAAAAAAACTATGTAAAATCATTTATTTAATAGTGAAAACTGTCCCAACCCATAAAAAATAGAAAATTCCCCAAAAAATAGTAGATTACCTATAAAATAGTAGATGACCTACAAAATAGTATATAACCCGAAAAAAATTGTTGTTTTTTTAATTTATGTTTTTAACTTTTTTTATTTTTAATTTAATTTGTTATGTAAATTTATATGGAAGTTATTTATAGACACTTACATTTCACAGATACTTAAACTTACAAATCAGGTTTTTTGCCTCCGCTGGGAATCCACAGAAGAATGATTTTCTTAGAGGATAATCTATAGACTTGAAATCAACATTTAACAAAACAAAAAAAAGAAAAACATCATCTGCAAAAGCGGGATTTGAACTCACGACCCAGAGATTATGAGTCGGATGCTCTAACCACCCTAAGTCCAGAATAATAGTTGACATACAATTTATAATCGTAATTTTAAAACAGCAAAATATATGAAGGAAAAAAATAGTTGTGTTACGATATTAATTGTGGTGTTACTATTTAATGCCCAAAAAAATAAAACAACGAAATACACGCAAACAAATAAAATAGTTTTGCTACGATATTAATTGAGACGTTACTATTAACTTTCAAAATGAATATAACAACAAAATACATGCAAATTTCGTAAATAGGTTTTCTACTATTTTAATTGTTAAATACTATTCAATGACCCAAAAAATAAAACAACAAAATACATGAAAAATTCAGAAAATAGTGAAAAACTATTTTTTTATGTTAATTTTACACAGTTTTTTTTTTGTGTGTAGAGTAAAAGGTTATATTGTATTCGTGCAAAAGTATGTAACAGATAGAAGGAATTTCCGACCCTATAAAGTATATATATTCTTGATCAGGGTCACTAGCCGAGTCGATATAGCCATGTCCGTCTGTCCGTCTGTCTGTCTGTCCGTATGAACGCTGAGATCTCGGAAACTATAAAAGCTAGAAGATTGAAATTTTGCATGCAGATTCTAGGAGTTTCTACGCAGCGCAAATTTGTTTCAAAAGGGTGCCACGCCCCCTCTAACGCCCACAATCGCTTATATACAATTTTAAAAAATTTAATATTTCGGAAAAGTAAAAATGCAGTTTTGTGGTGTTTAAAAATACCAGAGCTTGAAAGTTTTGGTCAACCTTTTCAAAGTGTTAGGAAAAAACCTGTCACAAAAACCCTATGACAACTGGGAGTGAGCTAACCCCTTAAAAGGGTTTTTGCTTAACAAATGTTACGCTCAGACCAAAACCCTTTTTTTCAGAGTTATTTCGGTTTCGGTTTCTACTGACTACTTTGCTCGGTCTGTAAAGGAAAACGGTCTTTTGTGAATGTATGAGTGTGTATGTGTGACCTGTTCAGTAATGCTTCAGTCGTAACATTGCTTATATAATAATTTACGATCCCAAAACTCCACTTTTGGCATATCCTTCTTATGTAGTAATTAATAACCAAATCCACGTAATAAGAAGCGAATCTTTTAAGCTGCAAGAAATATTAGAGCTTTTTAACAGGTTAAACCTCCTTTAGCAGTTTCAAATTTTGTTTATGTAGCTTTAAATCAATTCCTAACTATTCAAAATATTTCGAAAGATTTGAAGGAACGCTCGATCCATTTTGTAGGAATAGGCTTGGTTGGAATGCTTTGAGCCATTTTTATACCCTTGCAGAGGGTATTATGATTTCAGTCAGAAGTTTGCAACGCAGTGAAGGAGACGTTTCCGACCCCATAAAGTCTATATATTCTTGATCAGCATCACAAGACGAGTCGATCTAGCCATGTCCGTCTGTCCGTCTATCCTTCTGTCCGTCTGTCCGTCCGTCTGTCCGTCCGTCTGTTTCTACGCAAACTAGTCTCTCAGTTTTTAAGCTATCGGGATGAAACTTTCCCAAAAGTCTTCTTTCTATTGCAGGTAGTATATATGTCGGAACCGACCGGATAGGAACCCATAGGAACGATCGGAAAAAAAAACGTTAAAAAATTCTAGCTTCGGTGTTTTTTCAAGAATTACCTTCTACTCTTGGGAATATTATTTTTTATATATTTCTGAATTTCGAATTAAATATTTTAAAAATCGGATCACTATATCATATAGCTGCCATAGGAACGGTCGAAAAATTAAATGGAAATTGATAGGAAAACAAATTATATCTTTGTTGATTTTTATTACATTCTCTTCTACTCTGGGATATGACTATTTTTAAATATTTCCGAATTTCGATTTTAATTTTACAAAGATCGAACTACTATATCATATAGCTGCCATAGAAACGATCGAAAAATTAATGTAAAGTAATAGGAAATTTAACATTTTTGCGATTTGTAAATTAATAGGATTAAATTAGGATAGGATTAAACTGCCTTAGGAAAATCGGTTAACAGTTATTTGCAAGCTCTGAAAAATACCTATCGAAATGTAGAAGAAATTTTTTAAATCAAAGCTTTTATCTCCATCTCCTTCGCACTCTCTTTAGCTGAGTAACGGGTATCTGATAGTCGGGGCACCCGACTATAGCGTTCTCTCTTGTTTTAAAGCTAGGGCCTTGAAAATTATAATATATACTCCCTTTGCACAAATAGAGTTTCGGATTTTTGAACTTCTTTAAAAAACCTTACGGTTGAAAAACACCACCAACCCACCACCTCCCCATTATAGTCAACCCCCTAAAAATATTCAGAATATTTTTTTTATTAGTAGTAGTAGTAGATCTTTTATTTAATAAAAAATATTGGGGGTTGACATAATACATAAGTTAACATCCATAATTACAAAAGTAAGACAATTATTGGCCAATGCATTACGTATTGTTCTTGTTGTATGCACTTGGCTGGGTTCGATCAACTTTGGGAATATGCCATTCTGCATTTCTGACCAATGCAATAAAATTTGTTCTTGTTGTATGCACTTGACGGGGTTCGATCAACCTTTAGAATATGCTATTCTGCATTCCCACGATCGCTGACCAAAAGGTGCAAGCTCAGCGCACGTGGCTAAGCCCGTGTGAACTTTATCGAGGTCATTGGTTGCACATCGGCGACATCGACAAAAAGTAATAACCAATCAGAAGAAGGAACGACAACAGAAGAAGCGGCAGCGGCAGAGACGGTGGCAGCGATGGATCGACGCGTAGTTGTAATCAATAATTGTTTAGCTTAAGTAGAATCAGTTCTTAATCAGACTCAATAAAGAAAAGATTGGTTTTTTTTTATAATTAAATTAACTACATTCTTTTAACTGGCGCCCGAACAGGGACCTGATTAAAAGTCGCGAAAGGTTACAAGTTCCGCGTCTCGCGAAGTTCAGAAAAAATTCTGACGTTTCGTCCAAACCTCAACCTAATCCGTGTGAAGTGAGACCCGGAAGTGAAAAAGTGCCGTTACTAATAACGCCGCAAACCATCACTCCTAAAAAAGGACTTTTGCCTAGTGACTTAATCAGGCCAACACCATCGCCGTGATCCCTTTAGTACCCGTTCGAAGGGAACGTGAATAGAGTACAGAGGAGGCCCCACAGTAAACCAGCACTGAGGAGGAATCGCTACAGTGCAGGATAAACCGGAATCTGCCGAGCCTGTCTTCACGCCAGCACGCCGAGATATGATCTTACTGTAAGAATAGTTTTAAGAGAATCTATTGAAACATAGAAAAATAGAAATTAAGGAAAATCCACACCATAGTTAAAAAACATTCACATACAACAATTGTTAAATCCACACTGCAATCAAAAACCCACTTCAGAATTATTTAAGTAGCAAACTTCCGAATTCTGAGTAATTAAAATTAGAAATCTAATCTCAATTCTTTAGTGCTCATATATCCCCAAATGCCCGATCAAGATCTAGCAGACAGACTAGC